AATTTTTCAAAGACTTTTTAGTACCTTTCATTTTTGACTGACATCTTACTTGCTATAATCGTCAAGAAATCAATGAATATGTTAACTGGAATTAGACTTGGCACCTGTCTCTAAGGCACTCAAATTCAGTAGTTCTTGGTAGCCTTAGAAGGAATTCTTAACCTCAAGTGTTTTAAAAACTAACCTTGTATTCTTAAATCATTCCTTCAAATCCATGTTATTTTGAGTTCCCAAAAAGAGAAAAGGTAGAAAAAACAAATATAATATGAATTAAGTGTTTTACCTTTAGTTTGAGATGAAGTTTCTACGAATTATTTCTTTGGGACTCAAAAAAAAAAAAAAAAAAAGCTTGAATTTTAGGGATAGAAGAAGATCAAATTTCTTGGATATCTATAGTCTATCTTTTCCCAGTTCCTTTGCCACTCATATGACCAAGAAGAAATGCAATGTTCTTTTGTATTTGTAAGATGTTATACTAACTAGCTACTTAATTACGTTTAATCATGGAAATCATTGGCTTATTTAAAAAAATGTTTTAATGCTCCTAACTATAAAAAGAGAAGAAATAGTTCGATCTAAAAGGCAGTGTGGAACAGATGTGAGTTGGAATCATAGTTCCACCATATAATTGTTCTGTGCCTTTCACCTCTTTGAGCTTTAATTTCTACATCTGGATCATGGGTACAGTACCACTAAAGCTGACAGGGTTGATGAATTAAAATAAAGAAGGCATATAAGATATGTAAAGTGCCTGGATCATAGTAGGCACTTAATAAATGTTCACAGATTCTTCCTTCTTCCTTGTTACCTCTGAATTATGTTTCATAGATAAAAATCGTTCTCTTGACTCTCAAAGCTACTTGCTGAGTAAAAAAATAAACAACATAATAGATCTTCTTGATCTGAAATTTTATAGTAGATAAGTAACGAAATAAAAATAGTAAGAGATAAAAAATAACAGTTTATAAAATTCTTATGAAATACATAAGATTACTTATTAATCTTTTTCAGTTTCCTCTTAGCTGTGAAGATGAGATTAAATTTCATACTGTATAATTAATAAAGTAAATCATTTATGTTTCCAGATTACACTATGATGTTTCTCAATGAAGGAATAAACCACTCAAACTTTTAAAAATGAAGTTAAAGGGGCTGGGGATGTGGCTCAAGCGGTAGCGCGCTCGCCTGGCATGCGTGCGGCCCGGGTTCGATCCTCAGCACCACATACAAACAAAGATGTTGTGTCCACCAAAAACTGAAAAATAAATATTAAAAAAATTCTCTCTCTCTCTCTCTTTCTTTAAAAAAAATGAAGTTAAAAGTGTTTTATAAAACTAAAAATTGCTGCCATTTTCCAGGTTTTTTTTTTTTCAGAAAACACTTTTAAAATCATGACCTATTTAGGTATCTACTATATGTCTAATGCCATGGCAGAGGGGGTAAACAAACAAACAAAAACCCCCTGAAATAACTTATTAAAGGTATAGTACATGCCAGGTGGCACATTAGTGTGACAGGGTTGCCATAACAAAATTCCATACACCAGTGGCTGTTAAACAACAGAAATTAGCTTTCTCACAGTGCTAGAGGCTGTAAGTCCAAGAACTAAGTGCCAGCAGGATTAGTTTCCTTTAAGGCTTTTCTTTTTGACTTACAAATGCCTCCTAAGTGCTTCTCCACAAGACAGCCTTTTCATGCACTTGCCACCTGGTGTCTCTTTGGGGGTCCAGATTTTCTCACCTTAACAAAGACACCAGAGAGATTAGGGCCCACCCTAATGTCCTCCTTTTAACTTAGTCTCCTCTTTCAAGGCCCTGTCTCAAACATAGTGATATTTTGAGAAACTAGTTGTTAGGGCTTTAATATATGTACTTTGGAGGAACATGATTCAGCCCATAATAAAATATCACCTCATTTAACCATTGTGGTTTTATGAATTGGTGAGGCTCTAAGAAAAAAAAAATAATGCATCAGACGTCACATAGCAAGTAAACGATTCAAGCAAAATTTTAACCAAGGCCTCGTTAGCACCAAAAATGATGCTTTTTCTGCTATTCACACTTATTCAAAGGAATTCAAAGCTAGTTGGGAAGATTCGGTACTAACTGATAAAATTTTAAATAAGGGGGCTATGGACACAGAGGCATTTACTCACTGGGCCTGTGTCATTATATTGAAAGAATGGATTCAGGATTAATAGCCATTTATAGAACATTATTACTATATGTCTACTGGTCACCTCATATAAAGAGCTGCTGACTGATAAACAGGACCAGTCTTGGTACATCTTGGTACAAAGCCTACAAATAATCCTAAATCAATGTCAAATGCAAGACTGCTTTTTAGAATAAGTATCTTAAACATGACTACTTTTATGTTTCTTCTGCATTTGAGTGTAGATTATATGCGGGGACATATGCATGAAGTCCTTAATCTGCTTTATAATTTTTCACCCCTCTAGCAATCTACACAATCTTTTCTATAGCATCTCTGGATGAAAGCCCCAAGTCCTATGCTCTGCCTTTGGAATTCCACTTGCACTTCCAGGAATGAGTATTAGGCTAGACTGTAGGTGGGCTGGCACCCGCTCAGCTCTAGCATGACCATGTGTTGTCCTTTAAAGTTTGTTAAAAGTACCTTCTTACTTTATGTTTTACTCTCTAACTACATTTTATGGATTCATATTCTGTGTTCAACAGTTAACTGTATAATTAATAAAGTAAATCATTTATGTTTCCAGATTACACTATGATGTTTCCAAAGAAGACAAGTCTGCATATGCATACTAGGGACCCAGGCATATAACTTAAAGCCTCGTAAGCAATCCTTACACAACAGTTATTGGATGAGGCCTACTTCTTTCTTCTATACTCTAAGAAATATACTGGAATGTTCCATTAAGAATGCAAACTTCACAAAGCTAAGCACAATGCATATGTATGTATAGTATACACATAATACATATATAAAAATGTATCTGTTATTACAGCATCTTTAGTAATTTTATATATAAAACAGTGAACAAAATCAAATTCACTGCCTGAGAAGTATCTGCTTTCCCTAGAATGAAAATATGTTGAGTATCCCTAATCCAAAAATAAAAAATCCAAAGTGCTCCAAAATCTGAAGCTTTTATAAATGCCACAAATGGAAAATTCTACATCTGACCTTATTTGATGGGTTAAAACTCAGGTACACTAAGAATACTGTACAAAATTATTTTTAGGCCAGTATAGGAGGTGGATATAAAACAAGATGAATTTCACGTGTAGATTGGGATCCTTCCCCAAGATAACTCAATATTTACACATGAAAATATCCCCAAATGGAAAAATAACAAATAAATAAAAACAAATTCAAAGTCCAAAACACTTTTGGTCCTAAACATTTTTGGTAAGAGATACTCAAACTGTGCTAACCTTAACATTTACAAATAATGTTCTAGGAAACCCAGTGTTCATTAAATGCATCATTCTTCATTCTATGAAGTTCTATTTTGAACTCCATCATCTGCAACTGTTTACTGTGGCAAGATAATTGGCAAGAACCATTGTACTGTGGTTTTTCTTTTATGTACAACTAAAAAAAGCAAAATATCAACTAACTAGTAATGAGGCATTATGATTAAATTTCTGGTTAACTGAGAGCTGACACAACAATAATTTTTGCTTCAATTATTGTTGAAATCTTTTCAGTGATTTTAGATTGTTGTGTTCCTCTGCATGCAGCAGAGAATTTTTTTTGAAATCCAAACACTTTTGCTAATGCTTACTTGGTCTCGTGCTTTATGCCAGGCAGAGGGAAGCTATCTATCTAGCAGTGCTAAGAGAATTTGAATAGGGAAGCTATAAAGCTTTCTCAGTGTGGTAAAAATTTATTGACCTTTTACTATATGTACAGTTCTTGCCAATTATTACAGGGGTTTCAAAAGCCTCCACCAGGAGCTTGGCATAAATTGTAGAAATCCATTACTTTGTTTTCTGAGGTAAATTCTATGAATATTAATTACATCATTTTAAAATAACAAGTACACAAGCATATTTCAAAGTTTGATCTGATTTTTAACATTATTCATCCTGCTTTTTTCCTAGATTATGAATATCAAACAGCATTCCAAACTGTCTCAATTGAGTCAAGTGCATGAAAACATGGAACAGTAAATCAGAACTGGGTGGGGGACGAGTGAGCAGATAAGTATAAACATGGCTTAAAAATGAAGTAGAATATTTTCATGTGCTTTTAGTTTCAGTATTTAATGTTTTGAAATTCTAAGTAATATTAAAGTAAGAGTTGATGGAATAAAAGAGGTTGAGAAACAATAGTGTGATGCAGTTTCAATAAAACTCAAGAATTTAGAGAATTTGTTGTCTCCAGACAAAAGTATATATAGAAGACATTTGATAAATGTCTTGAGTAGAAACATTAGCCATTAGCCTCACACGTACCTAATCCAACAAATACACATGTAGATAATGGCGATGCTCTTAGAATGCGGTGCCTAGAAACTGAAGAGTATGGCTGCCTAAACTCTGAGTGGAAAAGTAAGCTTGTAGGACAGTGTACAACTTTGAACACATATATTTTTATTCTATATTCTGTGTTAATAGCTGATAATTACCTTTGCAAACTTTCATAGATCTATTTATCACCACCCCCATCTCTACCTTCTAGTGCCTTCCACACAATAAACAAAACTGCAGATACATGCTCAGTGTAAGAACTCCTGTGACCCCTCAATTCTTTTATTTCCTCAAGCATGGTATCCAAAGACAACTATCATTTACAATATAGACTTTTTGATTTTCAGTTGTAGGACCACATTACTCCATGACATTTTCACAGGATATGTACTTACTTCCCTGTTGGTCTCTAGATCACTGATTAGGTCCAAATCAATCAGCTGGGGATGGATTGAAAGAATATGTACAGTATAGGCCCTCCTAACCCAGTGGCTCTACATACATGCATGAGGGATCTCCTGCAGTCCAAGAAATACCTACCTCTAGCTTCAAAACATCATGCTGAAGTTTACGCTGAAATTCAAGGAAGTTTTTGATGGTCAGTTTCCCCTTGAGATCAGCTCCAAAAAAATAGGTTGTGAGGGCTGAACATAACCCAGACTTGAGGGTGTTACCAGTAGTAGGACGATCTCTGTGACGCATACCCATGCTGGTTTGAGAGCGAATGATGCTCTGAACCTAAAGCAGAATCAAACCCGCACCCCAGAAAAACATCATGAAAGTGGGAAAGCATAGAAAAGAATAAGTATTATTTATTCTGTGCCTGTACCAGTCAACCATTATCTCTTTTTTAATATACATATATATATTTTTAGTTTTCTTAGGTGGACCCAATATCTTTATTTTTATGTGGTGCTGAGGATTGAACCCAGTGCCTCATGCATGCCGGACGAATGTGCTACCACTTGAGCCACATCCCCAACCCCAACCATTATCTCTTTTAATGCATAACAACAATCTTGTGGGGCAAGTCCTACTATTATCCTTCTTTGATACATGAGGAGATTGAGGCCCAGAGAGTTGTATTCAATCTCACTTGTTCAATGTCAAGTGGCTAGCAAGTAGCAGAACCCAAAATCTAACACACACGGCCTGACACCTTTATAATTGGATGTTCTCAGAAAAATTTCCCTCCAGAAAAAAATATTTGTTTTGGGGGGACTCACTCGTACAAACAGGACAATCATAAACTTCACAACTGTGTCTTCCACATTTCAGATGACTTTTTCTCCCCTTCCTCCTCTCCCTCTCATTCCTTCTTTTTTTTTTTTATACTTGGGTTTGAACCCACGGACCCTCTACCACTGAGCCACATCCCCAGCTCTTTTTATTTTTTTAAATTTTGAGACAGGGTCTTGCTAAATTGCTGAGGCTAGCCTTGAACTTGGGATCCTCCTGTCTCAGCCTCCCAAATTATGGGATTACAAGTATGAGTCATTGTGCCTGGCAAATTCTTAACATCTAAGAAAACACATTTATTACAATGATACATAAAACACAAAGGTGGTAATGAAATAATACTCTAAGAAGACATGGGAAATTTGTTCAATCTTTGAGAAACAATAATTCTTGGGACCAGAAACAGTGGCCTACCTATGTAAATGAATTTTTAAAGGCAAGTCTATAGACTTATGCAGTGGCACACACCTATAATCCCAGAAATTTGGGAGGCTAAGGCAGGAGTATTCCAAGTCAGAGGCCAGCCTCAGCAACTTGAAGAAACCCTGTCTCAAAATAAAAATTAAAAAGGGCTTGAGATGTAGCTCATTGGTAGAGTATTAATAAAACTCAAGAATTTAGAAATTTTTTTGTCTTCAAACGAAAATACATATAGAAGGCATTTGATGAATGTCTTGAGTAGAAATATTAGCCGTTAGCCTCACACATACCTAATTTAACAATATACATGCAAATAATAGTAATGCCCTTAAAATGTGGGCAATATTCCTTATATTTACAGGACTAGTATAAGGATGAGAGATAATGTATGTAATGTATGTAAATTATCAACAACAGCCATTATTACCATTTTGATTAGACATTTAATCATAATATACAGATTTAAACATAAATCCATCACTACTTTTAGACTTAAAAAATAATTAAAGTTGAGATTACTTTTAAATCCTTTATTAAACCTAATCCACATGAAAATGTGTTTTATATGTTAATGTACTTATTGCCTCTTTTTTTTTTCTTTTTTGTGATGCTAGGGATTGAACCAAGGGTTTGTACATCTAGGCTAGTACTTTACCACTGAAGTATAATTCCCAGCACTAAATAACAATGTATTTGAGGAACTTGCCAGAACAACTTGCCTGCTCAAACTCCTCCATGTCTACTTCTCCATCTCCATTCAAGTCAAACATCTTGAAGGCAATTTCAAAATTTCTTTGAGGAGCTGCAAGAAAAGCAGAAAGGGAGACAGGAGGGAGGAAAAATATATTTAGAAGGCATTGATAAAAAAATCATTTAAGAAAAACAAATGGTTAAACACTGAAATATAACACCCATGTCAGAAAATGACACAGAGGCTCTGGAGGCTGAGGCAAGAGGATCATAAGTTCAAAGCCAGTCTCAGCAACTTAGTGAGGCTCTAAGCAACTCAGTGAAACCCTATCTCTAAATTTAAAAAAAAAAAAAATTTAAAAAAAAGCTGGAGATGTGGCTCAGTAATTAAGTGCCGCTGGGTTCAATCCCTAGCACCAGGAAAAAAACAAAACAAAACAGTGACACAGAGTTTATTTAGTTCTACCTTTCAGTAATACTCCTTAAAACTAAAAAGAGTTACTGCAGCCAGTAAAGACAGTAATTGTCTATCTTTGTGTTTCAATGCTTTTTCTTAAATACTTCACCTTTGCTTTTTAGACACCATCCTCTTAACTGTACAACATTCCAATTTTTTCTTTTAGATGCTGTGGGATGAAATCAGGGCTTCATGCTTGCCAGGCACATACTCTACTACTGAAACTATTAGATATTGTTATTGCTTAGTTGCTTAAATTGAGTATTATTTATTTAGGCAAGAAAATGTGTCTAGGGTGAGACAAACTGCCACAAAGCAAGAAGCTTTCAGTCTAAGTCTTTGTTTTGTCTTTAAAACAAACTAACTTTCTAGTCCCTCCATTTTAAATACAACCAGGAGCTCTGTACATATTATTCTGACAACAAGGATGTCAAACTGTTTTCTTATACTAGTTTACTTATTGCCACTACAGTTGTGGTAGGGCAGAACAGCATACTGAAAACAATCGTATCGGTGTATACTGAGTAAAGTACCTTTAAATGTTAAAATTAACCTAAAGTTCAAAACACAAAATAAAAACATGAGAAACATGACAAGATAGAATATATTTTCTTTCCATTAAGTGAATGATAAAAACTTTTCAATAATTCTTTAGTGTTCTGGGATCAATCAAAATAAAATTAATATACTTTATTCACTTCAATAAAACAAATTTAATAGTCTTCCTCCCTTACCATGCTAAATGTTCTAGTGAATAAAACTAAGTTGTTGACATCCTTACTTTGGTGCTTCCAGTTTATATAGCTTAAGAGAATAAGCTAAAATAAATACCCTATATATATCCTAATACCATTAAATTAAAATTTCAGTTAATATTATTTTTACTAAAAAATGTAAAGATTAGATGTGGACAAAAAAAAGATGAATGACCTTTGTGCGTTATGCATGGTTATAGAGCATCCATATACCTTGCTTATGAATTTCTCAATAGTATCTTCAGGGTTTAAATTTCATTTTCATATGGCTAGCCAGCTAGGCTGGTAAGTTCCTGGTTTTAGTTGCCTGAGTGAAACACGTGTCTGTCAGCTTTATTTTCTGTTGGCTTCCAATAGATTTGCTCTACTTTGGACCACAACTACAACTACAATTGCTAGAAAGGATACAGCTGAGAGAATAAAATTTTTGTCTATTTATTGCCACTTCTCAAAATTTTCCTACCTTTATAAAAATAATCTGTTAATGAGAAGTTACTATGTGCCAAGCATTGAGCTAGAAAATTTCAACCTGTTTATCATGCGATTTTGTACTACTTTCAATCCTGAAAGTTTTTATTTCTTTATTTTTTAAATGGGGGAAAGGGAGGCTCAAAGCAGTTAAATGATTAGCTTAAAATCACACAGATAAAATGTGGAAGAAATGGGAATGGGACTTAGAACAATAGTGACTCCAAAGCCTACAAAAACATCTCACTATGCTCCTTGACCTCTGACACAAATACAGAAATCTTATATATGTAGATATGTACACTCTTTATATTTTTTGACCTACAAAAACAACAATAAAACATGACTGTTTGCATTAGTCTCTGCAAAAGCTGAGAGTTCCAAGTTGTTTATCAAAAGGAGATAATTGATATCAAAGAAGCACACCATATCATGCTCACTAATCGGCTATCCTAATTGGAGACCCATAGACAACATTAGACTCAGATAGGTTTGTCATGTCTTTCAAAATTCTGAATATGAATCTCTTTATCAGAGTATACTCTCCTATTCTTTCCTAAGTCTCACACTTGGCTCACTTCACTCATATATATTATGTGCCTAAACTCTGCAGATATTTGCCATTTTAACAGCAGAAAATATGAACCCACTGAAGGTTCTAGATAGGACAGTGACATAATGAGGCCTTTATAAAGGACTTCTCTGGCTACCTGTGAAGGATGAGTTGGAAAAGAAGAGCCAGTTTCAGTGAAGATTACAGAAGCTCTTGTAAATGCTAAAATGTGAACTGAGATGATGGTGGTGGTAATGGAGAGGAATTTTGAAACAAATTTGAAATATCTTAAGAAGGCAGAAATTATATAACTTAATGATTAGTTAGCTGTGATGGGTTGAAGGTGAAAAGGGATGACAGCATAACTGGCTAAGATACTGAGTAGCTTGCATGTCATTTACCAAGAAATAAAATAGAGGTAAAATGTCTGAAAAATATAATAGTTCAGATGGGATCTGCTGAATTCAAGGGGTCCACAGCATATTCAGATGGAGATGTTCAGGAGATGAAAGAAATATGAATCGAAGGTTAAAGAAAGAGCGTAAAGATGGAAGTTACTGACATATATATGGTTAGCTGTGAACAACCTGACATGAAGTTACCCAAAGAGAACTGAGAGGTAAGGAAAGGGTAAAATGCAGGCAGAAACCAATACTTCAGGTGCAGGGAAGAGGAAAAGCAGTGAAATGGTATGACAACACTAGGAGGAATACAGTTTAAGTTAACAGAAACAGAAAAAATATGTATCACTGAGAACCAGGTAAAAATGTTCCCATATAGGAATTAAAGCAGCATTCACATAACTTATCTCCGCTGATGACACAGGATATGCAGGATGTTTAAAATTTGAGCTTAAACCAGGTGCGGGGGCTTATGCCTATAATCCTAGCAGCTCCAGGGGCTGAGGCAGGAGAATCACAAGTTCAAAGCCAGTCTCAGCAATTTAGCAAGGCCCTAAACAATTTAGTGAGACCCTGTTTTAAAAAGAAAAAGGGCTAGGGATGTGACAAAGTGGTTTAATGTCCCTGGGTTCAATTCCCAGCACCAAAACTAAAAAATAAATAAACAAACTTTGAGCTTATCATAATCTTATATTATGTCTACTGTCCTGCGAGTTCCACAAAGGCATGTGCCCAGATCATTTAAATGACTTGGTCATTCTAGCAAATCACAGTTATTACTTCCTTCTATAACTAAGGTTAAATGAATTTTACTGAAAAAAGCACACCTTGTACTGCCTGATGTTTCTCTTTTTAGTTTCTTGTAGATTGTGTGCTGTATGAGGAGTTACTCTTAAGTGCTTATTAAAGTAATGTGAGGACCGTCTAGAGGCTGTGCTCCTGTGCTCTGGTCTCTGCTGAGGCAAGCTGGACGGCAATCTTGAATATTCCCATTAAGGTCTCACCAGTCTATGAGGGAAGGTCCTTCCAGAAGGTGGTCCCTCACAGCATATTCAATCTTCACTTCCTGATCACATCAAAGCAGATGAGACAGAAAAGACCAAAACCAGCTTGTCTGAAGTGAAATACACTATACAGAATATGATTTTGAATAATTCTCTTGTAAATATCTGTTTACTTTTAAATGTAGGTTTCAGGATAATTTTTTAATCTAGTTATTTTGAAAGTCTGAAGATATTGTGGATTTATATAAAAGTTCTGAAAAACTCTTAATTCTGGGGTACTTATACAGTGAACAGTGAGGCCTCCTCCTGCTAAAAATAATATTTGGAAAGCCACATAATTTCCAAATGGTCTTACCATATAGGGAAATGATTAAAATTTACATCATAATTTTTGCTACTAGGACGCAGAGCTACATTATGTCTGTTCTGTTAAGAGTTCATTTTTACAATATTATCTACCCATTAACAATACCTCTGAACTTCCCTGAGGCACAATTTTTCTACTTTGCTTTAATAATAATAAAAAGAGCATCTTTTTCTATGTGTAGTTAAGTCAAATAATCAGATAGCAACAACAGAAGCTGTCCTGAAACTTTTAGGTCTCTTTCACTAGCTGTCCTTTAATAGAAAACGCACAGGGCTAGAACTCTAATTCTGGGTCTTCCAACAATATAACAAGTCATTTGCTGCTTTAAATTCCTTTCTGACAGAATGATGAAAAAAATGAATAGATTACATTTTAAACAAGGTTTTCATTTTCTGTTGGTTTGATTCTTTAACCAAAAACTCTACTTGTATTCATCCCTGTTTTAAAATGCTGCTGTTGGATAAATGAAGTCATTAACATGCAGCAATAGAGAATTCTGAGTTAGGAAAAACTTTAGATTATAATCCTCCATTCAATGATTTGACTATTCTACTGATATTACATGGGTGATCACACAGCCTCTGATTATTTCACACATAAGTCACCACTTAAGACTTAAGCACTGTTGACAATATTAAATAAGCAGAGCCTAAACCTACTCTTTGTAGTGCCTACAAATTGTAAAAGTTTAATTTTCTAGAGAAAAATACCACATCTGCTTTGTTCCCACCAAATAAATACAAACTATTATCATGTCTCTACTAAAGTCTTCTCAGAATCTGCTTCCAGATCAACATGCTAACAACCCTCTTCTGAGGTATTTTACTTCTACTTCTATTACTACTACTACTACTACTTTTTCTTCCTCCTCCTTCTGTTTCTCCCCTCCTTCCCGTTCTTCTTCTTGTGGCATTGGAGATTTAACTCAGGGCCTACCATATGCTAGGCAAGCATTCTACCACTGAGTTACATCACCAGCCCCTCTGGGGCACCTTAAATGGTCAATGCCTTCTGTAAGTGTAATAGCCTAGATAGAGTTAACTCTGGACATAATGTGCTTTCTAGAACAGGACTGCATTTTTGCAGAATAATGGACTGGCATTAATA